AAGGAGGCCAACAGTAAAGGAGACCCATAAGCAGGTGTCCATCTCACACTCTCTTTTGGTCTGGGGATAGTTTGGAGATGAGATAACACTTTGAGACAAAATTCTTGTACCACCTTATTATCCAAGAAGAAATAAGCAGAGCAGTGGTACAGCAGTGGCTACAGAAGAGACCCGACAAATACCTTAAAAGAGCAGTGATTCAGTGATTCAGCGATTGAGCTGATTCTTAAACCACCTCTCCAGAGTCACAGGCTCTGGAGACAAATGGATGCAACTGCTGGTCACTGTTTGAACCATCTGCCCCCAAAACCAAACATAGCCAGCAAGAACAGGTGAAGCTATGCCATGTGCCACCTTGGGTTTGTGATAATCACATTTTCCATTTAGCTATTTTTTACTTCCTTTTTTTTCTTCAGTGAAAGTCAGTGCACTTTAAAAAACATATTTTTGATATGAGAGGCAGAGAGAGCAAAGGCTCCTACATACTGGCTCCGTCCCCAAATGCCCATGATGGCTGGGGCTTGGGCAGTCTGAATCTTGAAGCCAGGCATTTAATCCAGGCTTCCCAAGTGTGTGGCAAGAACCCAATCATCTGAGCCATCACCAGTGTCTCCCACAGAAGTCACAAATAGGTGGCAGAGCTGAGTGCTGATGCAGTACTCCCAGGGGGGGCAGGGTCTCAGCTGCTGGGCTAATGCCCACAAGCGCACTCTTTGGATTAATAGGTGACCTCTCTTCCTTTCCTCTCAAAGTGGAATTCCAAGAGCAGCCATAGGCTAGGGCACAACACAGCGTCCAGAGCCGCGTCCACCCTGACAGGAGAGGATGCATAGGCCTGGCGCAGGCCCAGGATGTGGTACGTGCCTGCCTCCCCACCTACTAGCCCAAACTGAAAGGCCAGGCCAGGAGTCCTTGGGGCACAGGAGCTTGAGGTGGTATTACCTGTGCTACAATCACAAGCCTACTTCAAACTGAACCTGACCACACAGAGGGCACTCTCTGCATCCCAATATGCATCGTGTAGGCTACCAGGAAAATGGAGCTCCATGAGCAGGGGCCCTAGCTTTCCTCTCACACACCATTTACCCTCATAGGCACACGCTTGATTCAAGGCCTGTGCACTGTGAACAGGTAGTAAACTCTCATTTTAGCTGAGATCTTTTCTCAATTCATTTACTCCTGAATTTGTTTCTTCAATTCTCTCACTCAGGAGACTCACAGCTAAGGGGAACGGGTCTGCACAGGAAGCTCAGTATTTCATCGCTTCTGGTGGTCATCCCGGAGCGGAGCCCACAGGCCCCTGACCGCTGTCCTCCTGCTGTTCACCTGTACAAATATTCTGTTTGTTCTTAAAATCAAACATCTGCTGCTGAAGAAGCGACAACTGGATAGAATACAGCAGGAAGCCCAGGCCCTGAGCAGACCACACGGCCGCCAGCTGCCCTCTGCCAGGGCACAAGCAACTCAGAGGGGACAGTCCTTTCTGGGGTGGGGGATGTGCTGCACAGGGCAAGGCATAGGGCTCTCAGGCACTACACAAGCCACAGGAGACAGTGACGTCGGGAGACACTGTTGAGACAATGAAAAGGGACGCCACAGATGGAGAAAATGCACGCAATGCGGACAGGTCCTGGAACTCTAGCTAGAGGCAGCAACAAGAAAACGGGCACTGGAGAAGTTGTGCATCACTAGGCACCAGGAAAATGCAGATCAAAGCAGAAAGACACTGCCTCATACCCCCTGGAAGGCTCAGAAAAACAAACTGCCTGAAAGAACACCTGGGGTGCGTGGGGGAAAGGCGGAAGCTCCCCAGTTCACGTCAGACCACACTGCCTCTCAGGGCAAAACCAGAACCAATGTTCACAAAAATCCGGTGGCCACGTTCTAGGGTCACTTATTCCAAGATCAAAAAAGTCCTCAGAGTGACAGCGTGCCCGAGCACACACTGCTGAGTGCAGGAGGCCGACCCGAGAGGGCCACTGCCGGAGGCTCCACTTGGATGACTTTCTGGGAAGGGAAAAACTACAGCAAAGACAATGTGGCTCTGCAGCTGCAGGGCTGGGTATGGAGGAGGGGTGGCCAGGGAAGAGTTTGTCCAGCACTTCACTCTTCTGTGGTCATACGAGTCTGTGCATTTGTGTCTGAGAAAGGAGCCACGTACTGCATGGTTCCAAATGTGCTGCACCCTGGGGACAGCAGGACTGGAACAGCAGCGTGCCCCAGGAGGCCTGGAGAGTCCAGGGAAGGAGGCCAGGCTCTGCTTCTGCCTGTAGTTTGTGTGATTCTCGGAGAATCGTGGGTATTCTGCAAACATACCCTGATGCGTGTCCCATTCAGATGCAGCTGTCTCTGCCTGCTGAGCACCCACAGAGACACCTCACATGCAAAGGTTAGCGTGGGCCTGAGGTCACAGTAAAGACCCAAGACAGGGGCCAGTGCTGTGGCGTAGTAGGTAAAGCCGCCGCCCACAGCACCGGCATCCCACATGGGCGCTGGTTCAAGTCCCAGCTGCTCCACTCCCGATTCAAATTTCTGCTATAGCCTGAGAAAGCAGTGGAAGATGGCCCAAGTCCTTGGGCCCCTGCACCCACGTGGGAGACCTGGAAGAAGCTCCTGGCTTCGGATCAGCACAGCGCCGGCTGCTGCAGCCAATTGGAGAGCGAACCATCAGATGGAAGACCTCTCTCTGTGTAATTCTTTCAAATAAATAAATAAATCTTAAAAGAAAAAAAAAAAAAGACCCAAGCCAGGTCTGGCCCTTCCCAAGGCTGCATATCTGCAGTCATAAAAGACCCCTCCACTTTCTGAGTACTCCAGCCTCAGGTCCTCGGGAACCTTGGTCCCACAGGTACTTGGGAAATGGAACGTCGATATGGCACCACCTTCCATCACACAGTTGGATCAAGTCTCCCACAGCCCTGCAATTTTCTCAACAACTATTTCCTTTTCTTCTCTTTAAAGATTGAGGATCTGGGGGTTCTGTTTGGTCTGGCGCCATCTAGACACCCACATCTCATATTGGAGTGCCTGAGCTCCAGGCCTGGCCCCACTCCTGACTCCAGCTTCCTGCTACTGCACACCGTAGGAGGAGGCACTGATGCTTCAAGTACTTGGGTCCCACATGGATACCTTGGTGAAGTTTTAAGTTTTGGGCTTTGGCCTGGCCCAGCCCCGGCTGTTGCAGGCATTTGGGGAGTGACCCAGTGGATGGAAGCTCTGTCTCCGTCTCAAAAGCCCACGTCAAGTTCTTGACTTGAAGTAGATCCCCCATGTAGCCAGAGGACAGGCTCTCCTGGGAGCTGCACAGCATGCGTCCACCATGCCCACCTTCCAGGCATGGCTGACAACTCCTCTTCCTGGAGGCCAGACCCACTAGGGGAAGTTCTACTGGATCCCAGAGGCAACCTGTGCCCTCGGCAGCCCGGTCAACTCTGGCTCATACAACCTAGTTGTGTGGGGTCTGGCTCAGAAGAAGCCTCAGGAATCCAAGAGACGCACCTGTGATACACCAGAGAGAACAGCACAGGCCAGCCCTGAGCACCGCCCACAGCAAAAGTTTCCAGGTCTGTGGGGGAAGCTGAGGGGAAAGCAACCAGAGGGGAGGGAGGCAACAGATGGAGGAAGAGGCCAGGAAGGTAGTGCTCGGGACGGAGCGGCTGGCAGGCGCTTCCAGGACAGGGGCTGAGAGGGATCTGGGCAAGATTAAATGTCCAGAGTTGAGGGAACAGGAAGCAGCTGCCAGACTACCACCAACACTACAGGACAGGGCAGCTACCAACGAGGGCCCCACACTCGGCGTGAAATCTATACACGCAGAATCCCCAGGCCATGGAAGAGCAGCATGGTCCACAGAAGGATGGTGCGTGGAGGTGTGGCCAGAATGAGACAGGTGTCCATGGAGCTCCTGACCCACCAGGACACAGTGAGGAAGCAGAGCAAGCATACTCAGGGTGTGCAGTAGGAGGGCGGCAGGGGGGACACAGCAGGGCCAGGGCAGAAGGGGTGTGGTTTACAAAGCAACGTGCAGACGTAACAGATGAGTCAGATCTACAGTCTTCACCCGGGAAAAGGTAACAAAAGGCCCAGGAAGAGCAGAAACAGGTGCGGCAGACACGGGTGCTGGAGGCCTCCGAGGGGAATGGGGGGTGGTGACAGGGACTGCAGAGACGCTTGTGGGGCAGACCCCTTGCTGGCTGGGAACAGGCCAGGAGACTGTCAGAGGAGGGGGGGACTCCAGACGGCTTCACGGCCCAGGCTGGCAGGGGCAGGATGAGTCAAGTGGGGTCCTTCATACCACGAGCTCTCTGGAGAGCAGTCCATAGCGGCTGGCCCAGCAGGCCCTGGCACAGGCGTCACAGGGAGAGCAGTCCATAGTGGCTGGCCCAGCAGGGAGTGAGATGGGGAGGAGCAGAAAGCTGCAGCCCAGGCCCAGCAGAGCAGGGAAGCACAGAAAGCAAAGGCCTCACAGCAGTCAGGCACTGAGGCCAGGAAGCACACAGGCCAAGGACGCAGGCACCGAGGAAGGCAGACCTGGGCTCATCTCGGCATGTCAAGACCATGGTCACAGGCCAGGGACTCAGAAGGAAGACGGCCAGAGTGGGGCTGAGAACCTCTGTGGGACTGCCAGGACACTGAAGGTTTCCATGGAGGAAAGAGCACCTCAGGCCCACCTGCATGTTTCCGAGACTACGGAGAAGTCCAGGGCAGACAGCCACGTCTCAGACCACCACTGTCCTAGTGTCAGGACGCCCACGCTGCACCCCGACTGTGCGGGTGCTGAGTCCCTGCTCCGCTCTGACGCCAGCCTCCTGCTAAAGCAGACGCCGGAGGCAGCACTGAGGGCTCGAGCAGCGGGGCCCCACTCTGCCAGCTCCAGCTGTCGTGGGCATTTGAGAAGTAGACCAACAGATAAAAGTGTGTGCTTTCGCTCTCATTCATTTTCTGTCTCTCCAATAAATAAGTAAAAATTTACAAGCAAAATAAAGCAAGCTCTTACTTACCCAACCTGAATGAGTTCGTTCAACTTCGTTGCATTCTTGTCATCCATACCTTTAAGTGGAAAACAGGCACGTGAGACTAAGCAGGCCGCAAGCTCCACCTCACTGACCTGGATCACAAGACCACTGTCAACACAGACTCCAAGCACACCAAGTGAGCACTCAGGCTGATCCGCGTAACACCTCTACGGGTGCTGCAGCCAGGCCAGCACCTCTGTCCAGTCTCCCTTGGAGGCATCCTGCCTGCCCTGTGAGCACTCCCACCCCCACAGAGCCCTGTGAGCACTCCCACCCCCCACAGGGCCCTGTGTGTACCCCCACCCCCCACAGGGCCCTGTGTACACTCCCACCCCCCACAGGGCCCTGTGTATACCCCCACCCCCCAACAGGGCCCTGTGTATACTCCCACCCCCACAGAGCCCTGTGAGCACTCCCACCCCCACAGAGCCTTGTGTACACTCCACCCCCCACAGAGCCCTGTGAGCACTCCCACCCCCCACAGAGCCCTGTGAGCACTCCCACCCCCCCACAGGGCCCCGTGTGTACCCCCACCCCCCACAGAGCCCTGTGTACACTCCACACCCCCACAGAGCCCTGTGTACACTCCACCCCCCACAGAGCCCTGTGAGCACTCCCACCCCCACAGAGCCCTGTGAGCACTCCCACCCCCACAGAGCCCTGTGAGCACTCCCACCCCCCACAGAGCCCTGTGAGCACTCCCACCCCCACAGAGCCCTGTGAGCACTCCACACACCCCCAGAGCCCTGTGTGCACCCTTATCCCCCACAGAGCCCTGTGAGCACTCCCACCCCCCACAGGGCCCTGTGTACACCCCCACCCCCCACACAAAGCCCTGTATACACTCCACACCCCCGCAGAGCCCTGTATGCAACCCCACCCCTGACAGGGCCCTGTGTACACCCCCACCCCCCACAGAGCCCTGTGTGCACCCCCACGCCCCACAAGGCCCTGTGTGTACTCCCACCCCCACAGAGCCCTGTGAGCACTCCCACCCCCCCCCACAAAGCCCTGTGTACACTCCACCCCCCACACAAAGCCCTGTATACACTCCACACCCCCACAGAGCCCTGTGTGTACTCCCACCCCCACAGAGCCCTGTGAGCACTCCCACCCCCCCCCACAAAGCCCTGTGTACACTCCACCCCCCACAAAGCCCTGTATACACTCCACACCCCCACAGGGCCCTGTGTGTACTCCCACCACCCACAGAGCCCTGTGAGCACTCCCACCCCCCCCCCACAAAGCCCTGTGTACACTCCACCCCCCACACAAAGCCCTGTATACACTCCACACCCCCACAGGGCCCTGTGTGTACTCCCACCACCCACAGAGCCCTGTGAGCACTCCCACCCCCCGCAGGGCCCTGTGTGCCCCGAGGTCCACTGCTCTGAGTCCCAGGCCCCCAGAGTGATCAGCCTGACACCCTCATCCCGTCCTAGTTCCCTGGCCTCCTCGCTACCTATGCAGTCCCTTGAGATGCGCGAGCACCTTGCGTGGACCAGTCAGTCCGGAAGAGAAGGGAGGGTGCTTACTGTCAAAGTTCTCAAAGCCTGCAAATTTTGAAGGAAGGAAGATAACCCATAAACATACAACCAGGCCAGGGGCAGGGACCAAGTGGCCCCCAAAGGAGCAGACACTGACTGCGCCTGTCAATCAGGAGTGGACATCCAGTAAGGATGAAGACATTGCAGAAAAATCATGACGAGAACGCACAGCTGGTACAACTGGGCGAGAGAGAAGGAAGTGTGAGACTAAAGGGAAACGCCGCCAGATAGAAGGGTCTTCAGGAAAGAACAGACACAGCCCGGCCCCGCCCAGGAGGAAAGCAGCTGCCCTCAATGGGTAGGTGTCCAGCCTGCCAGGGCTCACACACACTCAGGTGAGATCTCAAGGAGGCAACAGCCGAAGGGGAGGGAGGGCACAGTCGGCTGCTGCGTCTGCGGGTGCAGAGGACGGTGGGCGCCCGGGGAGAGGCTGAACTGCAGAACGCAGGGCCTGGCTGCCTCTGTCTCGAGCGCGCCGGAAACCAGTGCAGCGTGGGAAAGCAAGGGAGGAAGGCAAAGAGGGCAACTGCCCCTCTCTGGGGTGACCAGGACGTCCTGGCCAGCAGCACCGCCCACCACACTGCGGCTCAGTCCAGCCAGGAGCCCCGCCTCCAGCTCCTGCACCCAGCAAGGGAGCCCCTTTTGGATAGAAGCCACATGCACAAGACGACGAGGTCTCACGAGCCAGCAATGGGAACTGGCCACTCACGACAACCCCCAGCCGCTGTGCCCCACCTCCCCCGTCCCAGGGTGAAGCGGAGGCCAGGCACACAGTGAGTCTGACGTGTGTTCTGCAAAGAGCCCCGAGCACATCGTCTGCATCCAGCTTGAGGGTCCACCAATCCTGCTAACGGGATAACGTCACCCCCCAGACAAGCTCTGACCACGGTGCTCGACACGGGCAGTGTGTGTGGAAGGCCCAAGCGCAGGGCAGGGACGCCCTCTGGAGACCTCACAGAGAAAGAACAGGCTCCCGAGCTCAGCTCATAGACACACGTTCCAGGTAGAGCAGAGAGCCACACACGTGCCAGAACCCAGCAGACAGACCGTTAGGGTGCACTTCCCACAGAGACACCAGGTGACACAACAGTGAAGACACGGCACCAACAATCTCCCGACAGGCAGCTGGAAGGGAGGCGGGGCTCACGAGCCACATGTGTGACCTGCAGCCCTGCCGAAGGGACCAGGGACAGCACTGACAGGAGAGCGGAGTATCTTCAGGAATGGAGGCCCCAGGCCCGCTGTCGGGAGGCCAGCCACATCCTGAGGGTGATGGTCACCCACGGTCGTGAGCCAGGGATGGAGAAGAGCAGGACTCCAAACACGCATGTGGAGACAGAGATGGCATGAGATGGGGCCCTGGCATGGTGGTGCATGGTAGGGAGACACCCAACACACTCCCGTGACCAGAGGCCACTGCAGGGGCCAGCGCTGTGGCACAGCAGGTAAAGCCGCCACCTGTGATGCCAGCATCCTATACGGGTGCCATTCGTACCCTGGCTGCTCCTCTTCCCACACAGCTCTCTGCTAATAACCTGGAAAGACAGAGGAAGTTGGCTCAAGTGTCTGAGTCCCTGCCACCCACATGGGAGACCAGGATGAGGCTCCTGGCTCCCGGTTTCAGCCTTGGCCAGTGCTAGCCGTTGCATCCAAGGAGCGAACTAGCAGATGATAGATTTGTCTCTCCTTCTCTTTCAAAACTTAAAAAAAGGCCGGCGCTGCGGCTCAGTAGGCTAATCTTCCGCCTTGCAGTGCCGGCACACCGGGTTCTAGTCCCGGTCGGGATGCCGGATTCTGTCCCGGTTGCCCCTCTTCCAGGCCAGCTCTCTGCTGTGGCCAGGGAGTGCAGTGGAGGATGGCCCAAGTGCCATCGGATCATTGTGGTGCGCTGGCCGCAGCGCGCCGGCCATGGCGGCCATTGGAGGGTGAACCAACGGCAAAGGAAGACCTTTCTCTCTGCTCTTTCTCTCTCACTGTCCACTCTGCCTGTCAAAAAATAAATAAATAAATAAATTAAAAAAAAAACTTAAAAACAAACAAACTTATGGCCACAATGGCCAGGGTGGTACCAGGCAGAAGGCAGGAAGGAGTTTTGTCCTAGTCTCCCAGGTGGGTTCAGGGGCCCAAAAGGTTGAGCCACCTTCTGCTGCTATCCCAGGCCATAGCAGAGAGCTGGATTGTAAGTGGAGCAGCCAGGACTTGAACCAGTGCCCATATGGGATGCTGGCATTGCAGGTAGAGGCTTAACCTATCCCACAGTGCCAGCTCCCACAAATAAATCCTTAGAAAAGAAACAAAAAAAAAAAAAACAAAAAAGCAGCCACTCAGGGCAAGGACGCAGCAGAGCAAACAGCAAGTAGCAGGACCACAGGGGCTGTGCACACCACTCCAAGTGGGAGGGACCACAGGGGCTGTGCACACCACTCCAAGTGGAAGGGATCACAGGGGCAGTGCACACCACTCCAAGTGGGAGGGACCAGGGCAGGGGCTGTGCACACCACTCCAAGTGGGAGGGACCAGGGCAGGGGCTGTGCACACCACTCCAAGTGGGAGGGACCGCAGGGACAGTGCACATCACTCCAAGTGGGAGGGACCAGGACCACAAGGGCTGTGCACACCACTCCAAGTGGAAGGGATCACAGGGGCAGTGCACACCACTCCAAGTGGGAGGGACCAGGGCAGGGGCTGTGCACACCACTCCAAGTGGGAGGGACCAGGGCAGGGGCTGTGCACACCACTCCAAGTGGGAGGGACCGCAGGGACAGTGCACACCACTCCAAGTGGGAGGGACCAGGGCAGGGGCTGTGCACACCACTCCAAGTGGGAGGGACCAGGGCAGGGGCTGTGCACACCACTCCAAGTGGGAGGGACCGCAGGGACAGTGCACATCACTCCAAGTGGGAGGGACCAGGACCACAAGGGCTGTGCACACCACTCCAAGTGGGAGGGACCAGGGCAGGGGCTGTGCACACCACTCCAAGTGGGAGGGACCGCAGGGGCAGTGCACATCACTCCAAGTGGGAGGGACCGCAGGGGCAGTGCACATCACTCCAAGTGGGAGGGACCAGGGACCCAGGGGCTGTGTACACCACTCCAAGTGGGAGGGACCAGGGCAGGGGCTGTGCACACCACTCCAAGTGGGAGGGACCAGGGCAGGGGCTGTGTACACCACTCCAAGTGGGAGGGACCAGGACCACAGGGGCTGTGCACACCACTCCAAGTGGGAGGGACCACAGGGGCTGTGCACACCACTCCAAGTGGGAAGCCAGGAATAGGAGAGAAGCCCTGGCTTTAAGGAGAGCCTTACAGAAGACAATGGCTGTGGACACCAGGCAAGGGGCCTAGCAGCTGCTGGTCTGCACCAAGGGGGAGGGTGCTGGGAGAGGGCACAGGAGGAACAGGGACTGGAACAAGGACAGGCGGCCCTGGGCCACCAACATGAGCAGTCTCACCCGTACTGGTGCTCACTCCTGGCCAAGAGAGGCAGGAGTGGCCATGAGATGGGCGGGGAAGGGACAGGTGCTCTGCTAGGACCCAGCTGACATCCCAGGCAGTCACAGCAGCGACAGGGACAGGGACAGGGACGGGGATGCTCAGCACTCACACAGCACCAGGGAGGCCACTCAAGTGAGCAGGGAGACTCACAGCAGACGGTCAGCAGCCAAAACACAGCTGCTCAGACTGGCGAGAGACGCAGGGGCGTGGGGGCGGGGATCTGAGGACGGCCGTGCCCAGGGTGACAAAGTCATTGTGTCCCTGACAAGACTCACGGCAGCCACTTGGCAGCATGATGAGCGGAGGACCAGATACAAAGGGACAACCAGTGGTCAGCACACAGCTTGGGCCAGGCTCCCACAGAGCAGCTGGGAAACTCCGTTCTCCAGAGGCCCAGCGCTGCCCTGAGCCACATCAGGTGACCGGCCGTGGCCCCTGAATGCTCACTGCACAGGAGAAGCATCTGTGTGGCCCCAGGGAGGAGAAGTGTCCCTACCCAGTGCCGAACCAACTCTGCAGAAAGGAAAATCTGAAGGCCAGCACTGTGGCGCAGCAGGCTAAGCCTCCGCCTATGGCCCCAGCATGCCATGAGGGCGCTGGTTCGTGTCCCAGCTGCTCCTCTGCTGACACAGCACCCTGCTATGGCCTGGGAAAGCCCAAATGCTTGAGCCTCTGCACCCTCGTGGAAGACCTGGAAGAAGCTCCTGGCTCCTGACTTCAGATCAGCTCAGCTCCAGCCACTGTGACCATTTGGGGAGTGAAGTAGTAGATGGAAGACCTCTCTGTCTCTCCCTCTCTCTGTAACTCTAGTCCCAAAAAAGTAAATAAAATCTTAAAAATAAAAATATACATGTGTATATATATATATATAAAAAAAGAAGGGGAATCTGTTCACAAGGAAGGATCAGCCAGTAAGTGAGGGGCATTTTGCAAGGAGGCCTGGACTCCAGAGTGTACTGTTCTAGATCCAGGAGGTCCAGGGAGAGCCCACAGTTGCATGCAGGCTACAGTCCTGGGCTAGGAGACCGAATTTGGGGGTGGAGGTGAGGCCTCAGAGATGGTCAGTGTGAGAAGCAGGTATGACCAGGGGCTGTGGGCATGCTGTGGGCTGAGGCTGTCTCATGGCCCAGGGCTAGAGTGAGAAAAAAGTAGGTCCATATGTGTAAAGCGTATGTGCACACAGGGGCGGGAGACAGTGACACGGCAATGGTGACGACCGTGCCCTAACTGAAAGCACACGGCTGGTCACCGACTCTTCAACTTCTCTGTTGCCTAAACACTTAGTGCCAGGGTCGGAGGGAGAGGAGGAGGGAAGGCTCCTGGGCACTGGCGTCAGTGACCCAGGGGGAGTGACACTCACAGCCCCCGATCTTCTTGCGCAGCTCGCCGTAGCAGATGAGGCCGTACAGCTCTTGGGACGACTTCTTCAGCCCTCGGGAGAACACTGGAGGACAGACAACGACACAGCGTCAGGCAAGGGATACACAGACAGCCCTGGCGACAATGTAGTGTGCAGCTGGTTTCCTGGTATTTGTCTCTCGGAGGAAGCTGGGCTGAGATGGAGGAATGGGCAATTTTCAAAGTAAAAAGTGGGGGATTTTACAAAATTACTCCCAACAGGCAGATCAGATGCCTCCCAAAACATGCATGCTCCTAGGACCTCGCTAAATCTCTCCTCCTGTGTCCCCAAGTGTTGGGTGAGGCCAGCACCCTGGAACCAGGGAGGCTCACCTTCCCACCTCACCTGTTCCTTTCCAGGCTGAGAAAAGATCCACTCGTGTGGACCCTCCCTGATGTCCAGCCTGCCTCCCTGCTTCCCTACAGCCTGGGCTTCGTCTGGGAGAAGGCGGACTGAGACGTGTGGGGCAGCTGCTATGGAGACGGAGCAGGGCAGGAGTGTACACTTTGCTGTCCCGGATGCTGCAACATGAATGGGAGCGCAGTACCTGCCCCTGGAGCCTCACGTGCTGAAGGCACCGTATTCTGATTTTCTCTGATTCTGTCAAGCCAGACCTCAGCCTGAGACACCTGCCCTCTGCTCTCAGTGGCCCCACACACCTCTCCTCCAGGCCCTAAGTGCCTGAGTGTTTCTGATGACAGGAGAGGAAGGATGCCTCCGCAAGTGGAAGAGGAGGCTCCGGGCAAGTGATCATGCGGGCTCCAAGAATGGGACTGACGGTTCTGGACGCTTCCCGAGGGGAGGATCCAGGACCGCCCACCAGGAGGGCAAGCATATGTGGTCCATCCACAACAGACATCATCTGGCCATGAGAAGGACGCTCTGCCGAGCAGGCTGACCCTTGCTGCCACCTGTGTGACCTTTACAACATTAAGTCAGGGAGAAAAGCCAGACGGGCCACACACTGTGCGATTCCATTTCCATGAAACACCCAGGACGCGCAGGCCCACAGACAGGAAGTAGATTCCTTCTGGGATGTGAAAACGGTCTGGAATTAAACAGATGACGTCTGCACAAACTTGCAAATATATTAAAAGCCACTCAACTATACACCCTGAAAACACATACACATTTTCAAAGTCTACCACTTGAAACTGCAAAGAGAAAAAGCCACAACTCAGAAAAACAAAAGCAACCAGGAAAGTGAGGCGGGGCTGGGGGCAGTGGAGCCCTGGGACAGGGTCCAGCTCTGGAGGTGGCCCTCGGCGCCAAGGGGCTCTACCCTGTGCCTCTCCAGGCTCGGCTGGGCTACAAACTCTGAGGTGCGGCAGAGCCTGTTTTGGCAGAACTTTGAGTTCCTAAAACAGAACTTACGACCAAAAGCAGCCATCAGCAGGAAGGGATGGCTGTGCATGGACCCAGGAAGCCAAGGTCGGTGTGGAATCACTGTGGGGTTGCTAAGACAACCGAAATCCCAGCGAGAAACACACACATAGTGGCACCCGAGCAACGATGGACAGGCCGTGTTCTGAGAGACAACCCGTCAGTGCAAGTCTGCACCTGTCCCCAAGGGTCCCTGGCGAGCAGTTCAGCCCACTCCCGGCTCCTTCTTGTTTTTTGTTTTTTGTTTTTTTTTTTGACAGGCAGAGTGGACAGTGAGAGAGAGAGACAGAGCAGAGAGAAAGGTCTTCCTTTTGCCATTGGTTCACCCTCCAGTGGCCGCCGCGGCTGGCGCACTGCGACCAGCGCACCGCGCTGATCCGATGGCAGGAGCCAGGTACTTATCCTGGTCTCCCATGGGGTGCAGGGCCCAAGAACTTGGGCCATCCTCCACTGCACTCCCGGGCCACAGCAGAGAGCTGGCCTGGAAGAGGGGCAACTGGGACAGAATCCGGCGCCCTGACCGGGACTAGAACCCGGTGTGCCAGCACCGCAAGGCAGAGGATTAGCCTAGTGAGGCACGGCGCCAACCACTCCCTGCTCCTTTTCACCAATGCTTTGCTTCTTACTTAGCTTAATGCGTCAGACAAACCCCCCAAAACTACAGATGGGCACCATCATAAACATACACAATGTATACACTATGCTGCCACGCTGTGTGCTGTGTGACACGCAACAGTCAAGGAGCCCAAGGTGCGCCATGGCATCTGGCAGCTTCCTTGTCCTCAGTGGAGACAGCAAGAGACCAGTCGCCCCGGGTGAGCCCCGCTCTCACGGCTGCGCTTTCTGTAAGCCACTAGAGAAGGTGCCATCCAATCCAAACAAAACAATTTGTGAGACAGGCACCCACGAACAGACAGAGGCCAGAAGGGCCCCTGAAGGTGTGAGTGCATTCACACAACCTCACAGTGCTTGTCACAGCCTGACACCCAGGACTCCGCCTGGAATTGGCCAATGAGCTCGGACCAGAGGACTGAAAAGGAACAGGTGAGCACCGTCGGCTTCAGCAAAGATCTGCCAATCAACCCATTTCTAGGGGCTTTCAAGACAGGGGCCCTCTTGTGTCAGCAGATGGAGGGCTGTGGCCCATACGCTAGGTGGCAGGATTCACACAGCGGTCACCATCCAGGGACCCAGCTGAGAGGACACTGCAAAAGCAGCAGAGACCAGGACTGTGGAGGCAGCCACAGCCACAGGTGCCCTGGTGTGGTCAGAGTGGAGGACTGAAGAGAATGAAGGTGAGAGACAGAGGAGGAGCAGAAGCAGGTGTCTGGGGAGGGCACTGCTACGTGAGGCTGTAGGACAGTGTGGGGACAGGAGGGTCCCCTGACATCAGAGATGGCCCAAGGGCACTTCCAGCCAGAAATGCACCTGGAGATGACGCAGTCACATGACTCAAGATGGACTACGCAAATACTGGCTCAAACACGGGGGGGTGAAAGCCTTGGGGAAATGGGTATCCCCCCCCAGCAGACCAGTTCCTGCCTCACTGTGCCCCTTCTTGGGAGGGAAGGGCGAGGAGGCGACAGGTGCTCACTTCTGGTCCCTGCAGCCTGACACTGGGCCTCAGCACCCTCCTTCACGCTGGACACGAGGTGAACGCACATGCACCCAGAACCGCTGGAAACCAAGCCCATACCTCCGAAGAGCAGTGGTAAGAGTGCTGAGCGCAGCACACGGCAGCTGGGCTGTGACGCACTGGGACCCTCGGTCACCCGGTGTGCACCGAGCACCAGGAGGCCGCCGTGGCAGCCCACCGCGGTCGCTTGCCAGGAACTGCCTGCCAAGCAGAAGCCCACCCCTCAGCCCCTCTAGGCTGAGCAGCAGCCACTCACCGTTGCTGAAGTCGATGTACTTGGTGATCTTGTGCCAGGTGCGGTAGTAGAAGTGCCGGACCTGCTCCTTGTTCTTCACCATGCTCGCGGGCTTGCCTTTCTTCTTGTACTTCAGGGCAATGTTGTTCTGAATTGCCTCAAAGTCCTTCCCATGCTGGAAAAGAAAGCCCACGTGAACAGCTCAGGGACTCACCCGCGCGGCGCTCCATTGGACACGGACCTAAGCAGCAGAAGGGGAGCTGGTGCTATAGCAGCGAGCACTCTTCCGGTAGCAGCCGTTTCCTGCTATGCCACAGCACTGGCCCCAAATCTTTTTCAAGCTGGATTTGCAGGGGTGGAGAGGGGGAACATCAAGGAACACAGCACAGGGTGCTGGCCATGCAGTTAGAGAACCTGAAATTTTATGCTGAAGACAGACAGGCCGGTGCCACGGCTCACTAGGCTAATCCTCTGCCTGCGGTGCCAGCACCCCGGGGGTTCTAGTCCTGGTTGGAGCGCCGGATTCTATCTTGGTTGCTCCTCTTCCAGTCCAGCTCTCTGCTGTGGCCCAGGTGCTTGGGCCCTGCACCCCATGGGAGACCAGGAGGAAGCACCTGGCTCCTGGCTTCGGATGAGCATGGTGCGCCGGCCGCAGCGGCCATTGTGGGGTGAACCAACGGAAAAGGAAGACCTTTCTCTCTGTCTAACTCTGCCTGTCAAAAACAAAACAAAACAAAACAAAAACAAAAAAAACCAAAACAACAACAACAACAACAACAACAACAAAACAAAGGAAAAAGAAAAGAAAAAGGAGACAGACAGAGGCCTGCACCATGGGGCAGCAGGTTAATCTGCTGCCAGCATCCAATATGGGTGCTGGTTCTAGTCCTGGCTGCTCCACTTCCAATCCAGCTCCCTGCTGTGGCCTGGGAAAGCAGTAGCAGATGGCCCAAGTCCTTGGGACCCTGCATCCACGTGGGAAAACCTGGAGAAAGCTCCTGGCTTCATATCGGCACAGCTCCAGCCGTTGTGGCCACTTGGGCAATGAACCAATGGACGGAGGACCTTTCTCTCTCTCTCCCTCTCACTCTCTGTAACTCTACCTCTCAAATAAATAAATAAATAAAATCTTAAAAAAAAAAAAAAAAACGACAGACACACGAAGGAAGGAGACAGAAGTGAGCGGCAGGCTTTGTTCAGAAGCACTGCTGTAACAGAAGCAGGGACCAGCGCTGCGGCACGGGTTTAAGCTACTGCCTGCAGTGCCAGCATTCCATCTGAGCAACAGTTCGAGTCCGGGCTGCTCCTCTTCTGATCCAGCTCCTGCTCATGTGCCTGGGAAAGCAGCAGCAGACGGCCCACATGGGAGACCTGGAAGAAGCTCCTGGCTGTTGGCTTTGGCTTGGCCCAGCCCCGGCCAATGCAGCCATTTGGGGAGTGAAACAGTAGATGGTACATCTCTCTCTTTATAACTCTGCCTTTCAGATAAATAAATTTTTTTTCTAATTAATTTTTAAAATTTATTTGAGAGGCAGAGTAATAGAGAAAGAGGAAGAGACAGAGTGAGAGAAAGGTCTTCCATCTGCTGGTTCACTTCCCAAATGGTCACAATGGCTGAAGCTGGGCCAATCCAAAGCCAGGAGCCAGGAGCTTCTTCCAGGTCTCCCATGTGGGTGCAGGATCCCAAGCACTGGGGCCATGCTCCACTGCTTCCCCAGGCCACAGCAGAGAGCTGGATCAGAAGTAGAGCAGCCAGGACTCAATCAGTGTTCATATGAAATGCTAGCACTGCAGGCAAAGGTGTATCCTATGCCACAGCACCAGCCCCCAAATAAATCTAAAAAAATAAAAAAAATAAAAAATAAAAAAAAAGGCAAACCCTTTCATACCATGTCAGAGACAGAGACCAGGAAAGCCTGAAGTAGAAAAGGCCAGTAGCCACACGGCACCTTCCCAGGCAGCATGCCCGTCTCACCGCTGCGCGTTCTGCTTCACCACGGGCCAGCTGCAACATCTTGGATCTAGCTGTCTGCTCTTAAGGATGTGGCAAGCCCCTGCTCACGCCCCAAGTAGAAAACACACCCTATCAGTCAGCTGCACAGGGAAGGCCAGAGGAAGAGGGCCACGCTTCCATGAGGAGTATGTCCCAGACACAGGTAAGAGTCCTGGGCAAGACGTCACAGCAGCACAGACACCCCATGGCCGCTCAGGAACAGCGCACCAGGTCACAGCTAGGAGACAAGGGCCAAGGTGGGGGGCGAAGCCCCCACGCTGCCTCCACCCCCTCAGCGGCCCCCAGCTGGAACCTGCTCACCCAGGAGCTGTGCAGCCAAAGGAATCAGAGGCAAAAGCTCCGTGGCAGGTGCAGAGCTCGGGACCCGAGTCTGAGCCGCTTCTCACCTTCACCACTCACCTCGTACAGCCCCTCGAAGAAGGTGTTCTTGTCCTCCGTGCTCCACGACTCCCACTGCCGCCGGACCTTCTTGCCTTCTTCCTTCTCAGCACCAGAAGACCCTAAGTTCCGGGAGGACGAGCGCGAGCCCCCCGCAGGGGCACTGGGGGCAACCCCAGATACATTTCCAGACGACGACCCGCCACCTTCGGCTCCTTGGAGAGAAAGGACTACACAGTGAGCTGTTCCTGGAAGCTGAACAAGGCAGAACCGCACAGGGAGAACCGCAAGGGCCCACTGTCCCAAGGCCACGCTCAACTGATGCCCCCAGCAGGACAACACCCGGGACCCCCAGGTGTCAGCAGGGCCCTTTAGGAAAGACAGCATCCTAGCTTGCCCCAGTGACTCCATGCACTGTCCCTGCCAGAGATCACGTAGCCTCTGTGAGAAGTCACGCGTCACGGCTCACCAGGTCTTCTCCCAGGGAGGGTTTGCCTGCAATGTTGCTTTTAATATTTGCAAATAAACGGGCTGAACTTCAAACTCAAGAGAATGCTCCCGTGTGCAGGAGGTAAGACCCACACACCAGAACATGAACCACGTAACGACTGAGGAGCGAGTCCCAGCACTCCTGATTCTCATCAGTCTCCACCAGGACCTGGCGTCGCGGCGGTGGACCTCACACCCTCTGCTGAAGCATCAGGCCCAATGCTCAGGCTGAGCCCCTTCCTGGAGACGGAGGGAGGCGAACGCCAGCACAAGAGAGCCCCGCATGGCAGCTCTGTGGACAGAACCCCGGGTGCAGGGGAGAGTGAAGGAAAGAGGAGCGTCAACAGCCCTCTGCCCACCCAGCTGCTTCCCTGCGACAGCATCTGTGTCACCGTCATTGTACGTTATGGGGCTACAGGTCCACACAACCCAACCTCCAAACTCTGAAACAATCCTAAAAGGAGGACGAGACCAAGATCACGGACACAAAAGTGCTTTTTCAACAAGCCAGAGGAAAGCAAATGTACACTACTGTTAGAACGCCTTCCTAGTGAGATAACCTAGGGCCTTCCCTGGGCAGTGGCAGGGCCCTCGATGTGGTCTGCCTTCACAGGGCCTGTGCGCCAGGAGGGCTGCTTAGAGGGCAGAGTGCAACACAGGGACAGCAGATCCTCAAAGACAAAGGAAATGGAAAACTCAGTCTCTCATCCACATGTACTTGCAAAGACTCGGGGGGGGGGGGGGGCCCACAAGAAACCAGCCAAGGGGCCACCCTCAACCGTGCCTCTCAGCAGGGCTGTGAACCTATGTGCCACCGGTCCCTGTCACTACAGATGGTCCCCGACCTAGCAGACTGGACTTGTGATTTGTCCACTCTCATGATGGTGGGAAAGGGACACATTCTGTAGAAACTATACTCCAGTCTGGGATGTACGTCTTTTCCCAGGCTAGCAACACGCAGGACCATCCCTTCTGGCTACCCTGGCAGTGGCAGCACCCACAGCTCCCAGTCAGCGCGGCTGCTTGAGAGGCACTCAGACAGCTGATGTGCTGTGTGGCCGCGCCAGCCTGTCCCAGCAGGTTACGGGGACTCCGTGCACAGGTTCCCAGGACGCAACCTCACGGTCAGCGCTTCAAGGCAGACCTTGAGAGCGGTCAACACAGCAGCAGCAATGGGGAGCGAGATGTCTTCACGCAGGCAATAGCAACGACTCGGCTCTAGGGAGAGGACTGACTCTCCTGGAGACGGTGCGTGAGTTCAGCAGAGCCGTTGTCGTGAGGCTATTTATATCTAAATATCAATTAAAAACTTAAGCCCAGGTCTCCAGTCCCACCAGCCACATTCCGCGTGGTCAAGGCCACATGTGGACCAGAACAGAGCACTTCCATCGCGTGGACAGTGTTCCCGGGCAGCGCTGCACCGAGCGCCGACACCCAGTCCTGACGTCAGCCCAGAAGCTAAGCTGCAAGTCTGCTGTCCACCTGACCACCCCGCGGCGCTCAGGCGCCCTCCGTGCAGCAGAGCGCGCCAGCGGCCCGCGGGTACCCGCTCCTCACCAGACCAAATGACACACTGGTGCTTCCCAAGACGTCTCCAACCGTGCGATGGCACCAGAGGACACTCTCACGAGTGACCAAGTTTGATCCATTTCCAGGAGTCACAGGTGCTTCTGCTGCTACACTGCAATCCCTCACGCGGGTCACGGAAGGACCTGTGCCCTGTGCCCCTCCACAGACAGGACCTTCAGACTCTCGGTTTCTAAGCAACACTCCCCAGACGTTCCTTGCAAGGCAGCTCAGTCTTGCTGCCCCGGGGCACGCTGGGAAATAGCAGACATGCTTCTCAACGCCCAGCCCATATGTTTTGCTAAATTCTGTGAGATGTTACAGGCTCCCAGCCCTGGTCACCATGAGCGGCAGAACGACTAGTGAAGGAAAGTGGAGCGGAAGCGTGTCTGAGCTGGAGCAGACATCAGACGCAGAGGAAGAGGCAACACAGTGGCTCCGATGAGGCTGATGAGGGCGCCGCACACCACCCACCTGAAAGCCGGCCACTCCCCCTGCATAGCGAGGCACGTAGCCTGTCCTGCTCAGGTCTGAAAAACGGCGCTGCCTCGGCAGTGGGAAGGAAACAAGATGAATGTTAAAACCAAATCAGCCACGTAACCGCTGCCAGCTGTGGCACCGCCATCCCAGACCCTGGCTGCTCTTCCAAGGCAGAACAGAGTCAGACTTCAGAGAAGAGAACGTGGCTCCACGGGCTCACCACTGCTTCACTTGACAACCCCGAAACACGCAGAAACAGGAAGGTATCCCAAGAGTCGCAGGTGGAAGACAGCCGTGGGCATCTGCGAGAGGCCGCCTTCAGGCCAACAGAGGGCAGAAACACAGGCAGAAGGGCAGAACAGGCTGGCAGAGAGGCACGAGGGAAGACGGACAACTGCTAGCCTGACTGGGCCGGCACAGGGGCTTTCTCTGGGGTGGGAATGGCTTGAGACAAAGGAGAGCAGGACAAACAACCGCTCCACCCGTGGCTGTTTCTGGGACCACAGAGAGGACTTGCGTGGTGAGAAGCCAGCATCCGAGGAACCTGAAGGGAACGCGCAGGACTAGCATCCTAACTGAGCTCTCTGCGAGTCACAACCTGTCTCACTCTCCCATGCCCACAGCAGGTGCTCAGTGACAGCCTGGGGCCCAGTGGGCACAGAGCGGGGCCTCCTTGTTCTCGCTGGGCCCCAGGGCGCTGCACACTGAACCCAGCCTTCCCCCTCAGCCCACTTCACTGCCCAATGTTACCTTGCTTCTCCCAGGCCAGTTCCATCCCACCTGATTGAGACAATTCTAACAACCTCTGCTCTGTCCCGAACCACAGATCTCTGCTACAGACCCCCTCCAGGGCCCGCAGGTGAAGGACACAGCCCCGTGGCTCTGATCTGCCGTCACCCACCTCCACACAGAGAACACCTGCTGTCATCCCCAGCACCCATCTCTGGTTGACCTGGGATGCCCCTACCTCACACAGCACCTCAGGAAGACAAAGTCACCCCCATCTTGCAGAGAAGAAGCAGGGGCACGGGCAGAGCCCATGCCCACAGCAGGCACAGACACAAAGGCCACGGGTGCCAACAGCACGTGTTACACGCACTCAACCACGCTGCTTCACCTTGGCCTCACAGTGCACGGTCATTATGCCCATTTTAGAAACAGGGACACCGAGCTACAAAGCAGGCAAGCCCCAAGGTCCCAGGCAGCAAGAACCACCCAGAGCCTGACGGAGCTTCCACGCGCTGTGCCACCAGAGCGGCCTGGTCTCGCAGGTGAGGCCTCGCGGGGCAGAAGCTTCAGTTCTGAAGGAAGAAAGCCTGCCTCAAGGCGCCTCCCGCTTGGGAGAGGACGTCACACAGAACTCCCACGACTAGGCCAGAGTCACATGACAACTAAAGGCAGGGGTCAGGTGACCTAACCTGGGTAGACGCGGCGGACGCGGTCAACCCGTCCTGCTCACTGACTGCAGCTTGCTTCCCATGGTGTGTGAGCCCCCTTCCAAGGGCCAGGGACGTCAGAGCCAGCAGTGACGGAAGGTGGACTCAGCAACTGTCCCCGGGACAAGAGGTGCTCACACGAGTCTCTCAGACGCCTCACTCGGGCTTAGCTGGAGAGACCTCTGGGGGTCAGCTCACGGGAGCGCGCCTCCAGGCCCCACCGCTCCACACCCCAGCTCAGGGAAGCGGGTGGGGCTTCACCAGGCCCAGGACAGCCCAGGCGCCAACGCCCTTCTGTGCACCTCAGTTCACAGCACACCACAGTTGAGGGGCGGCAGCGCCGGGAAGGTCTCCCCAGGGCCCCTGTGTACCAGCAGCTCCGCTTCAGAGCCCACGTGCGATGCAGGGCACACCAGCCCACTTCCCGCCCTGCTGCTGGACCCACCGGCAGGGCCTGCCAGAGCCCGGCTGTCAGCGTCAGAGGCTTCTGCTCACACAGCCGGCGGCGGCGCTGTGCTCACGTCTGTGACGCTGCCATCTACAGCCACTTCTACCACCTTGGCATCTTCCTGCCTTCGGATCGCCACACCACCCACAGCAAAGACACAATCAAAACCCCAAAGCACACGCCACCAGCGAAAAACAAATTCACAGACCGTCAGGTACTATGGACACCATGTGAGTTTTAACAGTAAGAGAACGCTAGCTCAGCCTTAAAACCTTAAACTCAGCATCTTCATCAGGCCCTCTCCTGACTCGAAGCAAATGAAATCTGTCCAACTCCCAGCTCCAGACCCTGTGAGTGCGGGAATTTTCTGTCCTGCACAGCCGTCACCAGCAGCCCCTCAAGCGGCCTGGCTCACAGCTCTCCTGACCCCCAAGCACAGGGATGTCTGGGCCACACAGCAGGACGCCAGCCTGGACATCACCCTCCACCGCTCATCGCGTCACACAGGGTGTGTGGCTGTGCACTGGACAGAGCCCACGGGAGCACCCCACCTCCTCCTCTTCTCCCCTCCCTCGTCTGAGGGCGTGAGGCACAGCATGACCACACCCCCAGACATGGCATGGGGAAAGGTCACTCGCTGGGCTCGCCTGGAAGAGGAAGCGCAGGGCTGCAGCCTGCCAGGATCTGGTGAACTTCCCACCCCGGGGGAGCACGGGCGAGACGCTGAGCCGGTCAGGAGAGAGCGACAGCAGAGGCGGCCGGCATTCTGGCCAACCTCTGCCTGCGCTCTCCCGCAGGCCGGCACGCAGCCCTTGCCCACTACAGCCGATCCACCTTCCGGAGCACTCTGTGCCAACACACTCCCAGTTCCTTCTGGGCCTGAAGGTTTGAGAAAACTTAACTCTCAGCCACAAGCTCACCCAACTCACTTTAAACGCAAGGAACCCAGAATCTAGCAGGCTACGCAGCAGCAGACCCCGCCACGCGGCAGCTCTAGGCAGGCGGGGCCCGCTGCCGGTCCCAACTGCTCTCCAGTGCGGCACCAGTCTCAAAACGCCAGGAAGCTCCGAGCAGCCCACGTGGTGACGGATGCGCGTTATCCCCTTCTACAGACAAGGAAACGGAGGCTCCGAGGTGGGCTGGGTCGCCAAGGCCAGCTGACCCTGAGGTGGCCAACAGCAGCAGCCCTTCTCCCGACCACGTTCTCAGGGAACGTGGTCTGAGACACCACGTGGGAGGAATCGAGCGGATCCACCGAGCTCCGGCGTGCGGGATCTGACTTCCACACGCCTCCGTCTCCACACGCACGCCAAGGCCCAGCGAGGGAGGCAGGGTCTCTGCCACGGCCCCGGGAGCACCTCACAGAGCTCCTGCAGTCATGCCACAGACACGCCAACACGAGCCCGTCCTCCCAGACCCAGTGAAAGCAAGCACGCTCCTGCGACACGCCAACACGAGCCCGTCCTCCCAGACCCAGTGAAAGCAAGCACGCTCCTGCGACGGGAGCCAAACCGGAGCAAGTCCCTGCCCCGCTCCCTCAAAGGCCCTCGAGGCTGCGAAGGGGGACGTCAAGGCGGCCGCTCACGGTCCACGTCTCCTCCAGAGGTCACAGTCTGTCCGACTGCTCATTTCCCAGGACACAGACCCAGCCCCCTGTGGAGATTTCCACTGCGTGCCGGGGCAGGTCTGGGCCTCGCGAGGTCACGAGCAGGGCAGGCTCCCTCTGGCCGCTGATGGAGGTGACTAAGCTGAGCGGGACTCTCCCCGAGGCACGAGGGGTGTCCCGGCAGGGTGAGCTGCATCCAGAGTCCGCACAGCCGTGAGCAGCGAGCAGGAAGCCCAGGGCGGGTGGAGTCTCAGAAGCTGTGGGAGGCACAGGAGCTCAAGACCACCGCGGGGCGTGGCTGGTCTCCCACCCCACACCTCCCCCCAGTTCGGCAGCCACGCTCCGGGATGGTTAAGGGGCTGCTGTCCTCGTCTCCCAGGCGAGACACCTGCGGCAGGCCTGTGAGCAGAGTGGCGCTGAGGGGCCAGGGTGGTGGGGCTTCAGACCCCACACACAGCGAGCCCTCCCGGCACCCGCGGCATCCCCACACGGAGGCCCTGCCCACGGCACGCAGGGGGACCTGCAACCAACAGTGAGAGGCTGTTCTACCCAACAAGCTAAGCTGGAAGAGCACGCCGGCGCGTACTGACTCAGTAGCACTCGCAGGCCAAGCCAAACGCCACCGCGGCATCTCCAGGCGCGCTGCCGTCAAAATTCCTCGCCCTCAGGGAGCCTGCTCCAGGGAGCCTGCTCCGAGGAGGCAAACGCAGGCCAAGGGCACGCGGGAGGCCGGAGCCCCGGCCGGTCTCGGTTCATGCTTGCTTTCAGACACTGCAGAACGACTGGATAAATCTAAACCAACATTTCCCAGGAAACCAGCGAACGCTTTCTCTCAGGCAGAACTCCAGGTGCTGAATTTGCTATTTATAAGCAGTGCTGCGAACCTGCCCTCGATGACAAGGACCCACAGCCACATTCCCGGCTGAGAGCGGCCAATCCCACCGCACAGGCCAGGCTGCGTCCATCTCCCCTACCCGGGCGAGACCCTCCCGGCTGCCCAAAGGAAGGGCCCGCCCGTGCCCTCCACCCCCGCCAGGAAGCCGTGGTCCCCGCCCCTCACTGGGGACAGACACCCGCGGGCCGTCCCCTCCTCCGAACCATTGTCCTGGGCTAGCAGCAGCCCACCACCCAGGCCGGAGAGGAGAGGAGAGTCGCAAGGAGCCTCTGGGAAAAAGCCTGCCTCGGGCTGTTTTCTTTGCCCAAAGAAAGGGTCCTCAGAGCTCACGCCGGGGTCAGCCTGGGGGGGGACGGCGCCCCCAAGCCCCCCGCGGCGCCGCTCCCAGGGCGGGGGGAGGGGCCCGGGTCTCGCGCCCGCCCTACCTTTGCCGCGGGGCCCCGAGCTGCCGCCGCCCACCGCGCCCGGCGGGTCCCGGCGGGGCCTCTTGCTCTGCGGCCGCACGCTGGAGCGGAGGAAGTGGTGCTGGTCCTGGGGGCCGCCGAGCGCCGGCGCCGCGCCGGGGGCCGCGGGGGCGCCGGCCCGGGGGGGCGGCCCGTCGCGCTTTGTGCCGCCGTCCTCGGCCGCGTCCGCGCCGCCGGGCGCGTCTCCGGCCAGCGCCTCCTCCTCGGCCGACCGCTTGCCCAGCTTCTTGAGCCCGACCTCGCCGCCGCCGCCGCCGTCCCCCAGCTTCACTGTCATCCTGCGGCCGGGGAGCAGAGGGCAGCGCCGTGAGCGCCGCGCCGGGCCCGGCAACTTTCTCCGCCCGCGTCCCTCTCAACATGGCCGCCGTTGTTTGTTCCAAATCCGCGCTCGCGCCCGGCCCGCCCGGCCCGCCCGGCCCGCCCCGGCCCGGCCCCCGTGGGCTGCGGGGGCCCGGCCGGCCGAGACCCGCGGCCCGGGCGCCCGGCTGGAGGGGGCGACTGCCCGGCCGCCCGGCGCGGCCCTGCCCCGGAGGGCGCGGGCCCAGCGAGGCGCGGACCGCTCCGTCCCCGCGCCCGCGGCCGCCTACCCTGCGGGGCCTCTGCTCCTGGCCCGGCCCGAGCGCCGGCCTCGCTGCCCGCGCCGCCTCGGCTCGGCCGCGGCCCCAGCCCTCGCCCCTCGCCCGCACCCCGCCCCGCCCCCCGACACGCGCGGGGCTCCCCGGCGCGGCGCACCTGCCCCGCGCGCTGCCCTCGGAGCCCGCCCCGCCGTGGGGCCGGGCAGCCCGCATCGACCCCGGCGCGGGACAGACGCGGGCGCGCCGGGTGGCGCCGCCGACACCGCCATGGTGGCCCAGGGTCGCCGGCCCAGCGCTGGACGCGAGGACCCTCCCCAGGGTGGAGGTGCGTGCCCTGCGCCCCGGGGGCCACCTCGCGCGTCCCGGCCCAACGGCAGCAGCCTCACGGGGGGACCCGCGTGAAAACTCGGGTCACAACACGCTTCTCGCGTTAACTCGCGGACCCGCTGCCCGGACGCGCCCGCAGCCCAGGGCGCCCAGGCACCGGCGACAGCGCGCGAGCCGGCCCCGCGCCGGCGCCCCACAACGGCCCCGCGCAGCTCGCGGGGCGCTCACCAACGGAGCCCCCCGGGACAGACGCCGGGGCGCGCGGCCTCGCGGCCTGCCCGTCTCCACGGGAGAAACGCACCAACAGCAACAAAACACCCGCAGCCGCGCAGCGGGCCCGGCCCCAGCCCCGCGAACCGCGGCCGCCGGGGCTGCAGGGCGTGGACGGGGCCCGCACCCCACTCCTCACCCCCGCCCCGGGACCCTCCTGGCGGGCTGCGGGTGCAGGACAGCGCCCCGCGCCCCGCGCCGCCCCGCGTGACGCCCCTCCGGTCACCTTTTTCATCCACGCCCCGCGGCAGCCTGGCCTCCGGGAGCCCCGGGACGTCCCCCGGGCGCCCACAGAGCCGGCCGGGCGGAGAAGCCCCGGCCTCCGCGCGGCGGCTGAGGAGAAGCCGCGACGCCGCTGTGGCCGTGCCGCCTCCGAGGCGGCCGCCGACCGACGCTCTCCTCCCACGGCCCCTGCGCGGGGCACCGGGGGCTGACGCGGGCTGCAGGCGACCCGAGGCCCAACCCGCAGCGCTCGGCAGCAGTTCCGGCTACGGCGGCCGGTGGAGACGCCGGGACGTCGCGCCGGGGCGGGGCGGCCGGGCGCGCGGGACGGGGCGGGGCGACGCGCGCGGGAGCGAGCCCGCACGAGCTTTCCGGCGGGCGCGCCCCCCGTAGCGGCGCTCCCATTGGCCGGCAGCGGGCGCGCGCCGCCGCACGTACGAGCGCGGGGGCGGGCCCTCGACGTGAGTAATGTTGTGACGCCGGCCTGCGCCCGTGCGGGCTGTGCGTCGCTCCGGATTGGTGAGCCGCCAGCCAATAGCGCCAGCTCGGCGCGGTGATTGGCCGCCGCTGTGTTGACGGATGCGTGAGAAGCAAACGCCGCCTCACGCCGTGTGGAAACGGGCGCGAATCCGGTGAAGGGATCCGGCGGGGGGCGCTGGCGCTTCCTCACAGCGAGGGGGCGCTGCGGCGCCGGGTGCTCGTCGTGGCGGCCGACGCGGGTGTGCGGTCCTAGTGTTTGTCAGAGCGGCGGGCCCGACCCCTGTCCCGCAGCCGCGCGCCTCCCCCTCGCCATTGCCCGAGGAGGACGCTCGGGCGCCCCCGGCCCTCTCCGGCGCGCGCCCGCGGGTGTGCGCGCGCGCGGGGCAGCTCTGCCGGACGCGTGTCCGCTCGGTGGGCGATTCCGACGAAGGCTCGGGGCCACCCTGTCCCGAGACCCAGCAGAGCGGGGCCCCCGAGGGCCGCGCCCGCCTCGCCCGACTCGGCGCGGGGCCGCCGGACGCCGCCGACCGCCTTCGGCTCTCCCCGGCCGTCGTCCCGGCAACGCGGCGGCGCGGCCGAGCGAGTCCCGCGGGTCCCGGCCCCGGCGGGCGGCGAGCGGCGTGCGGAGCCCCGGGCGGGCCGGGAGAGCGCGGGGAGACCGAGGCGTGCGCCGGCAGCCCGCGAGCCCGGCGGCGGCCTCGGCCGCGACCAGCGAGACGTCCGGCGTTCCTTCTCCCGGCCGCAGGTTCGTGGCCGGAGCCCGGGCGTCGGCCGGGGGAAGCGACGCGGTCGCGGCGGTCGGGACGTGGCTGTCAGCCCTCCGCCTCGCGCGGCTCGCCCGGTGACTTCGGCCGCGCCGCGGATGCTGACTTGGCGGACGAGGTAGGATGCCCGCGAGAGGACGACGACGGGTGGAAACAGGCGGTCGGGCGGCGCCGGGAGCGCCCTGCTGCCCACCCAGGGCCCGAGCGCGGAGGCGGGCCTGCCCGAGGCCGGGCACCCGCCCCGGAGCGCCGGGAGCAGCCGGAGCGGGGGCAGGCCCGGAGGACCAAGTCCCGAGGGCTCGCGGAGGAGAGAGGTCCTCCCAGCAGAAAAGACCCAGCACGAAAGATGTTGTGAGTGGGCGGGAAGGTGGAGGGGGAGGCATCGCTGTGTTCCCAGATCTGCGTGTGTGACTAGTAGGAAGTCTGTGTACCTTCAGTGAAATTTTAAAAGAGAAAATATTGTTCGCATTCTGTTATCACAGTGTTTGAAGTTGAAAAACAAAACAGGGCAAGTCAAGTTTAATTTGATTCAAGCATGTTAGAATTACCTATCAGAGTACTTACGTCATGTGTAATCATTACAACGAAAATTATGTATTGCTCAGTTTTCAGAGAAATATTTCCGCAAAGTAAACTGGTTAAAGAATGTTCCAGCCGGCGCCGCGGCTCACTAGGCTAATCCTCCACCTTGCGGCGCCGGCACACTGGGTTCTAGTCCCGGTCGGGGCGCCAGATTCTGTCCCGGTTGCTGCTCTTCCAGTCCAGCTCTCTGCTGTGGCCCGGGAGTGCAGTGGAGGATGGCCCAGGTGCTTGGGCCCTGCACCCCATGGGAGACCAGGAGAAGCACCTGGCTCCTGCCTTCAGATCAGCGCGGTGCGCCTGCCGCGGCGGCTATTGGAGGGTGAACCAACGGCAAAGGAAGACCTTTCTCTGTCCTTCTCTCTCACTGTCCACTCTGCCTGTAAAAAAAAAAAAAAAAAGAATTTTCCAGCGGCCAGCGCCATGGTATAGCCAGTGAAGCCGCCGCCTGTGGTGCTGACATCCCGTGTGGGTACGGGTTCACGTCCCAGCTGCTCCACTTCCCATCCAGCTCTGTGCTCTGGCCTGGGAAAGCAGTGGAGGATGCCCAAGTGCTTGGTCCCTGCACCCACGTGGGAGACCTGGAAGAAGCTCCTGGCTTCAGATGTGGCCGTTGTGGTCATTTGGGGAGTGAACCAGCAGATGGAAGACCTCTCTCTCCCTCTGGCTCTACCTCTCTCTGTAACTCTGTCTTTCAAATTAAGTATTAAAAAAGAATGTTTCATAGGATGTAGACCTTTGTCTAGATGCAAAACATTGAAGCTCGTCATAAAAGGTTTCCGTGTGGGCGTTTGGCCTCTTGATTGGGACACCTGCCTCCCCATCACAGCGCTCGGGTCTGATTCCAGCTCCCTGTAACGCACCTGCAAGGCAGCAGGCGGTGGCTCAAGAACTGGGGTCGCCGCCACCCGCGTGGCACACCCAGCTGGAGTCTGAGGCTCCTGGCTTCAACGTAGCCAGTCCCCAGCTGTTGCAGGCGTTTGGGGAGTTAACCAGCAAGTAGGAGATCGATCTCTGTCTTCCAAGTAAAATGAAAATAAATGTTTAAAGAACGTTTCCGGAACAGAGATTTGGGAGCAGTGGTGAGTCACTGCTTGGGACACTGGGGCCCACATTCGAGGGCCTGGTGGCTCTGCTTACCCGCCAGCTTCCTGCTGCTGCATCCCTGGGATCCAGCTGATGGGTCTGGTGCTTGAGTCGCTGCCACCCGTGTGGCAGACCCAGATGGAACTCTGGACTCCTGGCTGTGGCCTGGCCCAGCCCTGGCTGTTGTGGGCATTTGGGCAGTGGAAATGGGAAGCCAGTGGAAGAGCTGTCTGCTCCTCTTTCTCACTGACTTTCAAATAAAATTAACATAGATAAAAATTTTCGGAAAGGTCCTTTTGCTAATTTTGTTTTATTTGACAGATAGAGTTAGACAGTGAGAGAGAGAGACAGAAAGTTTCTTCCCTCAGTTGGTTCACCCCCCAAATGGCCACCAAGGCCGGAGCTACACCAATCTGAAGGCAGGAGCCAGGTGCTTCTCCTGGTCTCCCATGGGGTGCAGGGCCCAAGCACCTGGGCCATCCTCCACTGCACTCCCCCGCCACAGCAGAGAGCTGGCCTGGAAGAGGGGCAACTGGGACTAGAACCCGGTGCCCACATGGGATGCCTGTGCCGCAGGTAGAGGATCAACCAAGTGAGCCATGGCGCCGGCCCTGCTAATTTTTAAGAAATCTTTTTTTTTTAAGATTTATTTTATTTATTTGAAAAAGTAACAGAGGTAGAGACAGAGAGAGAGGTCTTCCATCCACTGGTTCACTCCCCAGATGGCCGAAACGGCCCGAGCTGCGCTGATCCAAAGCCAGGAGCCTCCTCCTGGTCTCCCACGCGGGTGGGTGGACTTGGGCCATCTTCTGCTGCTTTCCCAGGCCAAAGTAGAGAGCTGGATTGGAAGAGGAGCGGCCGGGACTAGAACCGGCACCCATATGGGATGCCGGCGCTTCAGGCCAGGGCCTCAAACCACTGTGTCACAGCGCCCGCCCCGAGAAATCTTTTTTTGAGAGACAGTCATGGAGAGAATTCCCATCTGCTGTTCATTCCCCCAGTGCCGGTGTTGGCTGGAGAAGCCAGGAACTCCATCCGGGTCTCCCCGGGGGTGTACGGGTCCAGGCCCTTGAGCCCCCACTTGCTGCCTTCCGGGGTGTGCATTAGCAGGAAGTTGGATCAGAAGTGGAGGAACTGGAGCTGGACCAGGCGCTCCAGTATGGGGTGTGCTGTCCCGAGCAGCGTCGTAACTGCCCCGGCTTTCCGTTCTCGGAGCGCATGCCCAGAAGTGGACCTGCGGGGCCCCAGCAGCAGCGCCGTCTTACATTCCCCAGCAGGAGTGCACAGGGTCTCCGGCTGAGGGCGTTTGGGCAGCGGGAGAACTGGCCAGCACAGTGCTGTTGTTCTGGTAGCTCTTGTGTTGGTATGAAGCTGGCCCACACGCACTCTCCTCTGCCTCCCACACTGACCTGGGGTGGCCCGTCAGCCATCTCCCCTGAGCTTCTGCCTCTTCTGGAACAGGGTGGCACCTGTCTGTCCCAGGCCTGCAAGGAAGAGTGAAAGGTTGCTGAAGTTGGCAGCACAAGCCCGGGGGCGGGGGCGGGGGCGGGGGGGCGCAGGTTAGAAGACAGTCTCCCCGGACTCTGTCTTTTTTTTTTTTTTTTTTTTTTTTTTTTTTTTTTTTTTTTGACAGGCAGAGTGGACAGAGACAGACAGAGAGAGAAAGGTCTTCCTTTGCCGTTGGTTCACCCTCCAATGGCCGCCGCTGCAGCCGGTGCACCGCGCTGATCCTGGCAGGAGCCAGGAGCCAGGTGCTTTTCCTGGTCTCCCATGGGGTGCAGGGCCCAAGCACCTGGGCCATCCTCCACTGCACTCCCTGGCCATAGCAGAGAGCTGGCCTGGAAGAGGGGCAACCGGGACAGAATCCGGCGCCCCAACCGGGACTAGAACCCGGTGTGCCGGCGCCGCAAGGTGGAGGATTAGCCTATTGAGCCACGGCGCCGGCTTCCGGACTCTGTCTTGTGGACTCTAATGGAGGGACTCATCCGTCTGCCAGGACCTGGGGCGGGGCAGGGGGTGGGGGAGGTTAGAAGACAGTCTCCCGCTTTATGCTCTACCAGAATTTGGGGACTTTTTCCCTACGCAGGTACTCTCCAGTGGAGCAGTTTGCTTTTTGAAAATTTTGCTGAGAAAAGATGAATTATCCTCATTGTCATTGGAATAAAAATCACCAAGCACAGAGGGTGGGCTGTGGGGTACGGGGCCTGCATGCTGTGGAGTCTGTTTCCGTCACACCCCATGACATCCCAGGCCCAGTCCCTTGTCTCTAGTTTTGTGTTTTCTCCTGGTTGGAGATGCATTCCACATGTCGTGGCCTGCACCGGTTCAGAGAGACA